ACAGCTCGTGGCCATAGGTGAGGGTAGGGACGTAGATCGACCGGTAAATTGAGAGCTTTGGTTTTACACTCAGCTCCCTCTTCACCACGACGGACCGGTGCAGCGTCTGCATCACTGCAGCTGCAGCCCCAATCCGTCTGTCGATCTCCGGCTCCCTTCTCCCATCACTCGCGAACAAGACCCCGAGATACTTGAACTCCTCCACTTGGGGCAGGAACTCATCCCCGACCCGGAGTGGGCACTCCACCCTTTTCCGGCTGAGAACCATGGCCTCAGATTTGGAGGTGCTGATCCTCATTCCTGCTGCTTCACACTCGGCTGCGAACCGTTCCAGTGCGAGCTGGAGGCCCTCACCCGATGAAGCCAACAGAACCACATCATCCACAAAAAGCAGAGATGAGATTCTGAGGCCACCAAAGCGAAAGCCCTCCTCCACTTGGCTGCGCCTAGAAATCCTGTCCATAAAAATTATGAACAGAACCAGAGACAAAGGGCAGCCCTGGCGGAGCCCATCACCCACCGGGAACGAGTCCGACTTATTGCCGGCAATGCGAACCAAGCTCTTGCAACGGTTGTATAGGGATCGAATGGCCCGTAGCAATGGGCCAGACACCCCATACTCCCGCAACACCTCCCACAGGACACGGGGACACGGTCGAATGCCTACAAAAGCACAAGTTTAACTAAGCACTTTTACTCTGGTTTAACACATTTTCACACACACAAGCACGGACCCCGAGACGCAAGCACGGACCCCGAGACGCAAGCGCACGAGCGCACACAGACACACAGGTGCAGGCGCACTGACCCACCACCAGATGGCGTTTTTTAAGCATGAAAAGTACAAACTTTTTTTAATGGCTTAAAAATAAAATAATGCTATTAGATATAAAACCTTTTTAAATTAATCAATTAGTTCTTTTTTGGAGGGGGGAAAGCAATGAGCTATGAACTAGCATATTTTGGATGAATATCATATTTTTGTTACTTCCTTTATTACTTCCTAGGGTCACAAATCATTTTATTGGGGCCACAAATCACTCTGTTTGACATAAGGGGCCTAATATCCCTCCTTTGGTCGGTAGTTGGATGGGACCGGTCCCTTCTTGGGGTCCTTGGGGATCAGGACCGTCCGACCTTCGGTTAGCCATTCCGGGTGTCTCTCGTTAACTAGCAGCTGGTTCATTTGTGCTGCCAGACACTCGTGGAGTGCAGTCAGCTTCTTCAGCTAGTAGGTGTGAACCATGTCGGGCCCTGGTGCTGTCCAACTCTTCATACTGGAGACACAAACAAGATGGTACAGTGGACACATGTGTGAGTGCTGTGATTAAAGCATCTTTCTTTCAGCTTAACGAGTGAACCGTCAGCTCGTTCAAACACACGTTAAAGTCCGTTTGGCTCGACACCACCGAACAGAGGCAGCAATATAACACAGCTAACATTAACAGTGCAGTGAATCCTGCTTGTGCCGCGATGTTCAGGACTGCAAACCGAGCAGCATCACTGACTTTCAGCTTGTTGTGTTTGTGGATATATGACTGACTTTAATTATCCATAAATCATCACATTCTCTGTAAGATTAAGCTCAGCTATTGAACGGCGTATGTTTTAAAGTAAAGGCTTTAAAACCAAGTTAGTACAAACATCACTAATGTCACATAACTTTGCCGACATGTGGCCAACAGTAATGTTTTAATGTTCTTCATTATTAAACATTTGCACATAAATAAGTGACATCATATTTAGTACTTACTTTTCACATTTTACTCTTCGGCCGCTCCGTTTCTGCCGTCTGCGAAAAAATTATCCACACCGACTGCCGCTATGAATTGTGGGATATGTTGGGCCACGAAGTCTACACCGTCACAGCCTTAAAATTCAGGGAAATGAAGGACGCATTTGAGGGCCGCATTTCGAGCAGCCTTTGAATTGGGACAGCCTTCGGCGCGCCACTGTGACGTAATCGGCCTTAAAATGCAGCCTTTAAGGCTGCAGACCCTGAATTGGGATACAGCCCACGTTTTATATATTTCGGGAAATTGACGGCGCATTTGCAGTACGCATTTGAAGTACACTTCGAATTGGCACAGCCGTCGTCGCGTGGCGGTGACGTAATCGCACTCAAAATGCGTACTTGAAGCGTGCGGTCTAATAATGGAATAATCTTGGTTAGTCAGTTATATAGAGAAGGTGGACTCTTTTATAATTACTCTGAGTTCCTCAGGAGATACAACGTACCGATAACGCCTAAAGAATTCTCAATAGTGTTCGATGCCATCCCATCTGGTCTGTCCATGTTACACAGATGCTCCCACAGTGCTCCACTACAGGTCACTCCCCCGGATGTGTTACATTCTTCTCTTGGCAATGTTTGCTTTTCCTCTCATAAGTCTATAAATACCAAAATAAGATCTCTCTTTCAGGATGCAATGGTCTCTGTTCCATCAGCCATATTTTATTGGGCCAATTTTGTAACAGATATTGAATGGAAAAAAGTTTGGACTTTACCACAAAGGTTTTTCTTGACAAACAAAATTAAAGAGATTTCCTTTAAGTTGATTCATAAGTTTTACCCTACCAAACAATATTTGTCCAAATTTATGGCTGAAATAAATGTAAATTGTACCTTCTGTCAAGAGCAACCTGAAACAGTTTCTCATCTGTTTTGGTCATGTAAATTTACGTGTAAATTCTGGAAGGATTTCCACAAGTTTATTACTGACTTTGTTCTCCCTAATCTTCAACTGTACTATAAGGATGTTATCTTTGGCTATTATAATTTTAAAGACAAGGACAATGATGCTTTCTTTTTTATAAATTTGGTTTTATTTTTGGCAAAATTTCATATACACAAAAGCAAAGTCCTCGGCAGAAAGCCTGAACTTCTTGTATTAAAAATGGAACTTGCACAATATATAAGGACAATCTCCTCATCAAAAAACACGAAGGCTCTCAAGACTGTTAACATCTGTAACCGATTGAAACTGCTAACTTGATTTTGGCTCTTGCAAACTTTTGTTTATTTATGTTCCCCTTAATTTATTTTATTTTTTGTACTCACTTTTGTCTCACTGTCCTTGTCACTCTTTCTGTTCCTCATTGTACTACCACAATGTCATCTTTTATGTGATCCCTGTTTTACTTGACTGTATGTCTATAATGTGATAAATAAAGTTAAAAAAAAAAGGCGTGTCTGAATTGGGACACAGCCTCCGTCTGAGGGCTCAGTTTGTGAGGAGATACAATTCCTACTGGAGCCCTGAGAGAGAAAAAACCTGTTCATCACAGAGTTATTAGTAACTGAGCACAGCTTTAAGGTAAAACAATATATCTTTGTGGTTGACAGTGGGCAGCACGGTGGCACGGTGGTTAGCACTGTTGCCGCACAGCAAGAAGGTCCTGAGTTCAATCCCAACATCAGGCCGGGGTCTTTCTGTGTAGAGTTTGCATGTTCTCCCCGTGTTGCGTGGGTTCTCTCCGGGTACTCCGGCTTCCTCCCACCGTCCAAAGACATGCAGCTTGTGGGGATAGGTTAATTGACTAATCCAAATTGTCACTAGGTGTGAATGTGCGAGTGAATGTGAGTGCGAATGGTTGTCTGTCCCTGTGTGTTGGCCCTGCGACAGACTGGCGACCTGTCCAGGGTGTACCCTGCCTCTCGCCCTATGACAGCTGGGATAGGCTCCAGCGCCCCCCGCGACCCTGAAAAGGATATGCGGAAGCGGATGGATGGATGGATGGTTGACAGTGGATTAGCTCAATGAAATACTTTTAATTAAATTTCACTTGAATTTATTTAAAATTACATTTTGCTTGGAAACAGATCAGAGCATTTTTCATTAATTATTATTAACAGTGTCTTAAAAACATTTGCAAAGTCAGAGATTTTAATTCTTCACATTGTAATTATGTAACTATACATTCTATAATAAAACACTTGAGAATGAGATAATTTGATTGGACGTTAGTGGTAAATCTTTTTTTTCCCCTCGAACTTTATTTGAAATTATAAAGTGAACAGCCAGTCATTCCAGTTCAGTTTGTACAGTAAACATAGAGGGCAGGTAAGAGTAACAATATAGAGTACAAAGAAATAAGAAGGATAAATAAATAAAGGAGAGGAAAAAAGAGAGGGACGTGACAGACTTCATAACAACTTTGCACTTGAAAGTTGTATCCGTGACAGCTCATTCGTTAAACATTTCTGAATGAAGTTAATTTGAGAGAGTTTAAGTAATATTCAATTTCAATCAAAAACAAATTAAATGAAGGGGTTGAGTTTTGAAATTTACATTTATGTATATTGAATTTCCCTAATAAGATTAAGATTGACAATACCACATTTTTTTTCCTTTAGTTTCAAAATAAGTGATAATGTTCTTCCCCTCAATTTTGATTTCGTATGTTGTTTTGCACAGTATATAATTTTCAAGCTCTCTCGTTAGTGGTAAATCTGGACAGCTTTGACAAAACTGATAGCGTCACATCCTGAGCTGCACCAGCAGGTTACCAAGCAAAATGACGAAAACATGGAAAACAGAATAATGAAAATGAGCCACAAAATAATTATTTTCAAATTACTCAACGTAACTTAAACAATGACACTATTAACGAGCATTAAGGTATATTAATTATTTCTTTCAGAAATGATGTAATTATTTGATTGTCTGCCAACACTGATTGTTTTCCATGTTGTCTTTCTTATTTGAATCCTTTTCCCCTCTCTGTAGTCTTTCCATCTCTTTGCGGTAATATTGTGTCTCTGTGCTCACGTTCGTCCCTCTGTCCCATCACAGACGTTATCAACGTCCGCATAAACTCCCTGACACATGAGTCTGACCCCTGTCCCACATTCAGCCTCCGCATAACCCTCCGCGTCTGCTTTGTGCGCTGATTGGACGCCAGGACTCGCTCGGGAACGCGCTTGCGTGAACTCGCCGTGCTAGTGTTTCCAGGAGACTCTCCTATGTGCACGCGCACGTTTCCCACACGCATCCCCGCTGCCCAAACTGCATTTAAGGCGAATCCCATGAAGCGCGCATCCGTTAGAAATTTGCATGGGGCGTACCCGCCAGTGGAATGCGCGCACCCGCTGTCCATCTCGTAACTGCTGTCCAGCCTAATTGGAGGACACTGCTGAGTAAATGGGAATACCGGGAGCGCGTCTTTGAGCTGCAGTTGGAAAGTGGAGCAGAGTGCGCACTCCTTTTCCTCAGGAGCAAAACTGCGTTGCTTTCTCACTCATAACAAGTTGATGTTTAGGCGCAGCTGAATGTTCTCGTTTATGGCAGGTCGGATTCTTTATCACATATTTTAATTTAACGATCCTGCTTTTCCAGTTGATGCGGAGGATAAAAGCAGAGTTTCTGCACATGTAGCGCAGAAAGACGGATTCTCCAGAGGCTTCCGTAAGAGTAACAGCCATGTATGCAGGACGCAAGAGGAGAAAACCCGTTCAGCGAGTGTAAGTTTCTCTCGTTTCATCTTTGAAGGTTTCCCTCCGTCTATTCTAACATCCACGTCACATTTATTGTGTTTCGTAATTAAGAAGATTTGTTTCTTTGTCGTCCTAAATTCATGGAAACAAATCTATTTGCTGACGATGCTGAATCAGGTCGGTGGATGTTCAGTGCGGATTATCGCGGGCCTGCAGCTGTGGCCTCATTCTTTAACATGATTTCTGTCTGTTAATGATAACGCCACACTTGTGTGAATTATTGTACATGAATTATTTTATTGTCCCAACGTTTTCCAGGCCTCGAGGCTTACGGGACGACTGCTCGGCTATTTTCTGTCAAACGCCCTTCAAACAACCAGCTGGGCCGTTTTCCCCCTTTCGTTTCCTTTTGCAGGGATATTGAAGATATCTTCGGTTTTTATGTTGTTGCTTTAGTAAAACTCCGCTTCATTTAATTTCAAATCTTTTTATAAAAAGGCCTTTGGTAAGAGGCCCTAATCTGTTTTTAATCGCATTAACGCGACTCAAACACTCACGAACCTTTTTCAGTGAAAAAAAAAATCTTTTAAAATAAATTCCAAGCGGTCAGTGGCGTCACGGTCACACTCCAGCTTTAAACGCTCAGTCTCTACTAAACTGGGAAAACGGCACCGAGATGATCTGCATCCTCCGCAGGCCTTTGTTCTGCTCGGATGTGATCTGACTCTGGGAAAGCTGCGGGAGAATTATTTAAAAGGAAGAAGTCATATAAAAGAAGTCATATCTGAAATCGTTACATCTGCGGTCAGTTCTCCGCTAATGCGCTGCTATAAAACCATTTCCCCCCTTCCGCATTTCTCAGCTTTTAGCGTGTTTATCGAATAAATGTTAATATTAGACAAACCGGACTCGTTGTCAGGGTTACAGGCTGAATGTTTATCTGACTGCAGCATCCAGTTAATACAAAATGCAGTTGTTAGGTGATGATTTCACGAATTAAGGGAAAGTAGCGAACCAAACCAACCGGCCCTGTGTGGAAAATGTAATCGTTCCCTGAACCAAGTGTTTGTGATAAGTGGCAATGACAGTTTCACTTTGCTGTGGAGGAACTGTGGCCCACTCTTCTTTGCAGAAGCAAATGATGAGAACACTAAGCACTTCTAGGTTACTGTGGTTTTGCTGGTCAGAACTGAAATGACTGACTCCCATGAATGTGACAGAACTCAAGCTCAGAAACGGATCAGTGGTGCAGCATAATTCTTGAAAACGTCCTCAGTGTCAGTAAGGCTCCTAAACACAGCCTATAATTCTCCTCTTGCTGACACGTACTGTCACTACTGAGATGAGCATTCGGTTACATTTGTGTTGAAACAGGGACAGACTTCCTGACTCCCTGAGCTTGTTTAACTCTGAGAACATGACGCGTGACTAGTCCACGCAAACACATTTCCCGACTGAGCAACGCTGAATGTTTCTGACTCAAGTGACTCAGAAAATATCAAATCAGAGAATGAATTTGAGTGAAAATAACGTCTGAACAGAGACTGAGAGGAAAAAGACAAGCCTGCATATCAAGCTGCTATCGCTGACGTGCAGGATAACCAGATCTCCATCCATCCATGTGTTGTGATGTTAGGAGAGGTCGTTGTAGTCATATTATACTCACATCGTTGCCATGCTAGTGTGGAAAAAACCAAAAACATGTGAAACTTCAGCTTTGATTTGGAATTGAAGTAAAGAAACGTTCAGTGTTTTAAATGTAGGCCGACAGGGAGGCCCACCCAGCACTGAAGTTCAGAGCATGTGATTGGCTGCTCTTTTAATGCAAACTATAAAATATATGTAGTATATATACTGACAAGACCATCCACATTATCAGTTACTGGATTTTCTGACATTAGAACAATAAAGTCACGTATTACTACGTTCCTTTATGACAGTACAGTATAGAAGGCATGTAGGACAAAGTACTCTTTACTTTGAGCTCTGTGATGTCTCACATTAGGATCTGTCAGCTTTCTTTCTTTGCATCTGGTTAATCATCCAGTTTGTACTTTAGTCTGAAAGCACCAGTTACAGCCGCAAATAAACACGTCTGTAACGCAAAGTTATTGAAGGGCTCGTTTTATTGCAATGGATGAGTTTACTGACTGACGCGCAGAAGAAATAGTTCTTTATGGAGCCTAGATGGTGTGAATGATGAGACCAAAGACTGCAATATCCTGTACCAAAAATATATTAAATAAATGGGGGAAGGGGAAATGGAACAAAAATTATACAACACACAACATAAATGCCCACAAGTAATAAATCAAAGCTGTGATTTCTGTGCAAGAGTCCTTTTTGGTCCTTTTCATTTATTTATTTCACACTTGGTACAACAGATCAAACAAACCAACACTTTCTATCAAAAAGCACTACAACCATGTGTGAAAAGGAGCAGGAAGAAGAAAATATTCTTATTAAACCCCGCCCCCTATCTACAATCCAACTTATATTACAAGTGGACACCAAAAATCAGGGAACAAACTAACATTAACATTTCTCTCCGGTCCTAACACAAACCAAACAACAAATTTACTATCAGAATATACCACTCCACATAGTAACAAGGAGAAAAATAAAATTAAAATAAATAAAAATTATAAAAGGATCCATTTTCAATGAACTCCAATTTCATTCACATTCTTCATATTGAGTTATCGTTTTAAGCATGTAACACTTTAAAACAATATAAACTTATACAATTCTTTAAATTATAATGAAGAGAGTTCCACAGTCGTATACCCCTAACCGTTGCACTCATGAATCTTTGTGTTGTCCTAGCTAACTGATGCTTAAAATAAAATTTCCTTCTACCATCTTCTCCCCTTGAACACATTAAAAATTCTCTTTGTAACTTAAAGGGCAAAATATTATTTTTAAAGTTCACTTTTAAGGTATTCCTCCTTAGGGTCCAGCATCATACAATGGGGAAATATGTCCGTAATCCAAAGACGGCAAAGTGGAAAAAAAAATAAAATAAAATAAAATAAAAAAGTCCTACCGGCTCGCCACTTCAATATGAAGAAGATCAATTCAAAGGGGGACAAAAAACCTGACCTGTATGTAACACTGATGAAGCACTAATGAATTAATACAGGCTAGGGATTGAGTGAAATATGGTTATCATTAATCAGAAGATTTAGGAATGCTACTGGAGCTGATGGGCAGTAATTAATAAATACACACAACACAAATGTTTTTGCAGGTACCATGTATTTAACCAACCCCAAAGAAAAACAACAAAAGAAAAACTTCAATAATCACTCCTGCTGCAGCTATCCAATTAATCAAAACCCAGTGAGGGTGCACAAAGACATCTAAGCAGATTCTTCTGGGTTATACCAAGCAATACAGATTTTCAAAAAACGGTTCCCCCATAAAAAATACATGTTAATATCAAATCCACTGATCCACACTGAAGTCCATGAGTTTCATCTGAATGTCCATGAGAGATGTCCAAGCGCTATTGTCCAGAAATGAGGGGAATGGTGTGTATGATTGCGGAAATCAGTGTATTTGGAAAATGGGGACAGAGCGTTGTCTTTGATAGCTTCCTACCCAACCAGTGGAAGCTTCAATTGCAGAATGAGTCCTGCTCCTAGCAGTTCATTGGCTCGCCATCCTTTTTCATACCCCAAAAAAGGTTCACCTGGCCTGCATTAAATAAACAAGGCCAATAAGAAATCACAGCCAATTAAGCTAAATACATTAAGTTATTCTTGTTCCTGTGCACACAATTTATAAATAAACAAACAATCTATTGGTTAAATATAATATATCTAACCAATAAGGATTTAAATGAAACATTTCAACTGCTACATACATACTATGTAGCTCCACAACATTTGTTATTCAACAACTATCGGTCAAATCAAAATCAAATTGTTTGGACCGGCAGCAGCCAATTAGCGTCAGCTGGTAGCAATACAAACAGTCAATTAAAAGTTCAAACTCACCAATTCCGTTCTGTTCAGTGCACAACAACATTATGGCTCGGGCTCACAGTAATCAGCATCTAAGTTGCATAAGTTAGTTTGTGTTAAAAAATGCATTAAAACGGGAAAAGCAAATATTTGCCAATACACACCTGTAACAGCTCTGTCACCTGGCTTGCCTCCACGCATCTGACCGGAGGAAGCCGGGACAGGCTTACTATGACCTACATGCCATCCGATTGGCTGAGCAAAGTCATGTGGTTGGAGTCATTTATTTGTGATGCGTTCAATGGCAGGAAATTAGTGCAGGAAATTACTCTGGGTTACACGTAGGTCAGAAAAATGTCCATTAGCACATCAAGTTCGATTCAGTTTACCGGTAAACAAATATATTTTTCTGCAAGTCTATGTAACGATGCAAATCATGAATCATCAATGTACAACAGTTAAATTATTAATCATCTTGGCTACGTAGCTTAATCTATACATTCCAGTAGCGTTCGCTACAAACAATACAAAAACAACAATAAAGAAACTACTGTCTAACAGACAGCATAGCCGAATCCAAGGCAACACATAACAATAATCATTCAATCGCACTTTGTTTTAAAGTAAGCCCATTAAAGTGCTTAAGTAAATAAAAGTGTTCAAAAACAGCGGTGTTTGAACCGGAGTTCTGCTCGCGGTGGGAACGCCGCCGAACAAAGTCATTTTTTAATCGCGAAAAAGATCGACTGGTTACTGACAACCAAAAGGTTGTTTTTGGTAGATATTAAGGACACTTACCGCTGAGGTGAAATGAGAGGAGAAAACGCTTTGTTTTCCAACGCCGTTCTAAACGCCACGAGCTTACAGCCACAGCAGGAGTCGAACCCGGAAGTATCCCTCCACAGCCGGTTTTCAGAGTTGCCGCGACGTGGAAGGAGCCAATCAGGAGAGGGACCTCAAATCAGCTGACGTAGGTCATGTGACAGGGAGTAGTTGATATGGGTTACACGTCGCTTGGAAGAAACGATTCAAATCTGATTGAACTGAAAGCTTGTTGGTTTCAGTCACAGCCAGATAGATTAAGATGGGTGTTGTTAAAGGATTACTTCACACAACAAATCCCAGTGTTTGCTTACTGTGCAGGCTGGAAAACCATAGACCGTTCATAAAAGAACAACCTGAGCAGGCTAGGAGTGCATTAGGCAACCATCTTGGCTTTTTGAAATGTGACAGGGGACTGAGAAGCCAAGGTACACAATTCACTTATATAGTAATATATATAAGTGAATCTTTCCGCTGTACAATATTATTTGCACGCTGTCGTCAGTAAAGCTCCAACACACCAAAAACACATCACTTGTCGTGCATCATTTTGAAGGTGACGGCTTCAAGGTCACGTCTGTCACTCGTTTGGAAGCAGAGAAAAGTGGGTCTCAGGCTGCCTGCTTCCCACCACAGGCACTTATTTCACCCATCGCCACTTGAAGTCACAAAATGTGATTCACTTTGCTTAGTTTAGAGTTTAACCAAGTGATTGAGACAATAAACTGTCTTACTGCACTGTAAACATATGCAGGGTTTTTATGTCTTTATTATCTGTATTAAGCACATTTTACATCTGCTGTCAGAAAGAGTTTCCCGAGGTCTTGTTGGAGTGGTCGCTCTCTGCTGGTTATTGGAATGAAAGTCGATTTTTAAGGGACTTCTTTACTTGACCACACTTTTGAGACCCAGAGCAATGTCTGTCTTTGATACACAGCGAGTCTACACTTAAAAATAATACAGAAGACAGGCTGCATACACGAAGAACCAGATCTAATCTACCTACAGCAATACCAATGGTTCTTGTTTGCTTTCTAATCAGGGTGAAGCAACCACCAACTGCGGGATCCAAGTCCAATCCATCTAAACGACATAGAGACAGGCTAAACGGGGAGCTGGAGCGGCTGGCCAGTCTGCTGCCGTTTCCTGAAGAGGTCACCGCCAGTCTGGATAAATTGTCCATCCTCCGCCTAAGTGTCAGCTACCTACGAGCCAAGAGTTTCTTCTCTGGTAAAGTTACCTTCTGATCGGAGCAATGGCATTAAGCAGTAGACATTCATTTTGTAAGTCACAAACTCTTCTCCCAGAAAGTGAAAGGTTTTTGGTATTTCTCTATAAAACTTATGATTCCTAAACGGTTAGCGTAGCTCAGCGCAGTGATTGAAAGCAGGACAAATGCTAAAGCCAACACTTGCCTTATATTTGGACCTTTGGATATCGACTTCCAGTGTAAAAAGAGGTTCCCTGATGCTATTACCAGAAACTGTCTGGGCCCTAAAACCACTGAAGCTGGTGGCTGTGGGAGAGACTACTGCAAGAAACTGATGGGTAAAATTTCACATTCTCTCCTCTGTGGATTTCTTCCCATGAAAATGAGTCCAGCTGCTGTTGTGTAAAGCTATGCAACATTCATGGACTAGTTCTCATAAGGCATTAAGGTAAAACTGGCTCCACACCTGGTGGACGACAGGTGCTGTGTAAAAACAGCCGTGAAAAGACACATACACTAAATAACAACAATGTACAGCTCTGCACAGATGGGCCGTGAGATGTTCATCCATTCACAGATGGATATAGTATTAATCCTGTGCTGGAATAAAGACAGAACCATAGTATGCACTGCACAATGACAATAATGTGTATAATAGTCTGCACATTTGTAAACAGGTGAATATTTTGCAAAGTGCAGGATGAGCTGATGGAAATCTGTATGTATGGTAAAATCCTCTGATAAAAAAGTAACAGATGAACTGGACTGATCAAAAATACAGTTGTTGTTTCACAGCTATAAAAAAAGTTAGAAAAATGTGAAATGTCACTGGTGGATTTCTTGTAGTTAGACCTTTACTCAGCAACTGATGGTGAAAGGTTTGCAGAACAGCTTTGCACTTTGTTTGTTTGTTTGTTTGTTTTGGTGAAAATCCCTGGAGCTGGTTCTGATTAGGTCCTTGGACCTTGTTCCACTTCACTACATCACCACAACACCAAGGAAATAAGGCCAACTTCTGTGGAAACGGATAGTGTAGAATATTATTGAAATTGTAAAGAGGAGGGGGAATAAATATTAATATTTTAAAAAATCAAAAATAGCATCTATTTAAGTTAGAACAGTAATATCCTCTTTGAAGGGTCTTTCACTCAGAACCAGTAGAGTTGAGAGAAGACTGCTGTTTCTATCTGTACTCATGTCTTTTTGGTACTACTAACTGCGACTGGAGTTTGAACCAGGACCCTCTTGCTGTCTTAACCACTGCTTCCCTGTGAACCAATCCGGTTGTTGATGACATATGAACCCTGCTTCTGGGTCCAAACTACTCTGTGTTTATTAATTACCACTGTTCATTTTAAAGCTCAGTTTTTAAACCCCTCCGATGTAACTACAGCCCATGCAGCAGTATATGAATGACTAACCTCGTATTGTGGATGGATTATCTCAGTTGTTCTCCTGACTGGAGTTTGGTCCGTTTACAGCATCCTGCCATGCGATTACATTTGTCTCTAACCACCAGAATCCCTCACGTTAACTTTTATCGAGTGGAAAAAAGTTAGCGTTCATCCTCCAGCTTCACTGTGTTTATACTATGCTAACGTAGCTGTGTCGCTAGCACATCGTTATATAGCAGCTAGCCCAACTTCAGTAACCCTACAAACGTCACTGCTGTTTAGTTTTCTGTCTTCATTTATGTTGGAAGTGATAGCAGAGCTGTACGTTTGAGTATTTACAGAAATCTCTCAGTCAGAACATGCTATATCATGTTTAGGTGGAAGCTAGCGAGCTAACTTCCTGCTAAATTCATCTCCGTTAAATGTAATAAATCCTGTTTTCATGGATGCCTGGATGTTAAACTTCATAGTTACACCTGGTAAAGCAGCAATGCTGATGATTTTATTACAGATGAAAGAATTGACAGTTTGTGACTCTCAGTGATGTTGCCGTGTTCGTTTGACTTTGGGACCTGAAGTGGAGTTTGGACCTGAAAACGACTAATGACTTCAGACTTAAAGAAACAAACTGGAATTTGTTTTTATGTGTCGTTATTGTGAACAGAAAGCAGCAGCTGTTTTTAAATGTCCTCAGTTATTTTCAGCCATGATGATTGTGTCACAGTCAAGCTACTCTTTTGGTGTTGCCCAACAGCTCGCAGATCATCTCAGAGCACCACAAGAACAAGAACCCATTGCCTTCTTCTGATGACTTCATCACAGCAACAGGCTCTCATTATTTCATTAAGACCTGTGTCTGTGTGACTTCACATATATGGGGATTAAGAACTGTGTTTGGTATGTGTTGCATGGTGTTCAGAGTGAAAACATTGTTATTTTAGGTGGCGATCTTTCGAGGCGAATGCTGCAATGCAGTGGCTCCCAAAACATGAATAATTGAGAGAAACCCTGGAGTTTAAAGAATTTATGAAATGGAGGCAGAGCAGTGTTTGTTTAAGGCAGCGTCGTTCTGAAATGGCTGTTTGGTAGAGACACACAGGTTACAGCTGTGGTGATTAGAGTATGTTTAAAGTGTTTGCACAAATGCTTTGCTTAGTTTTGCCACGTGGCTGTACGCTAAGAAAAGAAAGCAAAGTGCTTTTCTTACGTATTTCCTTAATTATGTTCAGGAGCTACATTTAGTAACATACAGAAGCATTTGGTATCTCCTCAAGCTGTCACAGTGAATTATTGATCGTGGATTGCCGTAGCATTAGGTCAAAGTGTAGCCTATAGACAAAACCTCTTGTCTAACTGCATTAGCCTACTTCCTGGACAGTCTCTAAGTAATTAACAAGCTCAGGGCTCTTACATAAAGGAAGCAGCTCCAGTGCTCCAGGCTGCCTCTGCAGTCAGCTGTAATTTGCTGTATGTAAACAGCACAAATTCACTTGTCAGAAGCTTCCGAGGCTGGATGACCTGGACAGCATGGAGCTAGCAGCACTCTGGGAATGCTGCCACTTCTTCAGCACTCTGCTCCGCTTGGATGTTAAGAGGAACTCTTAAACACTAAAAGAGCTATGACTTCATTAAGTATTGTTTTTTTCAACATCAATAAGGTGTCTTTAAAAATCTCCTGAGAGCGGGCATTGAATGCATCACAGGAGCTGAACAAAGCTCTGACAGAGCCCATTTAATCTGGCTGACAGCATTATCCGAGCCAGCTGCCATCTTTGTTATTGTCAGCAGCTACAATGGGCTCATTCAGTCTGAGGAGAGGTGAGTTAACGCTGCAAACACGTGGATCCCCCCGCCCCCCGTATCCTCAGCTATAAAATACACATTCACAGCTGCTGTCTGGCATTTGGATCCAAGCACTGTTAGAGATGCTGAATCAGCAGATGACCTGCTCGACCACCTGAGCTGCAGGTTCAGCCGTTAGTCTGAGCTAACGTTTGAAAAAGTTCAGATCACATGTTTCTAGCAGTCCTGTCACAGATGACGTGCAGTGTAGACGCAGTGATAAGATGAGATAAGACTTTAGTGATCCCAAACGGGGAAATTTTTGCGTCACCTCAGCTCAGGTACAGAAGGAAATCCAAAAATCCAAAAAGGACAACCAATGAAAAAAAGTAAGATAACACACTATATACAACAGTAGCATACACACTATGTGATTATGGATATGGTTGGAAATATGCAGGACATAAACTATGTAGCTTAACATAACTATTGTACCACTACTATTCCTATGTATAGACATGTACACACACACACATGTACACACTAAATATACATATGTATTCATATACAGACATATATACCTGCACATGTCCGTACACATGGAAGCATTATGCATGAAGTGGTGACCGTGGTTGTTCACAGTGTCCAGTGAGTCATGACATCGTGATTGAGGAGTTATGGAGTCTAACTGCTGTTGGGATGAATGATCTGCCAAAGCGCTCCTTCCTGCAGCGAGGGTGTTTCAGTCTCTGACTAAAGGAGCTGCTCAGCCCACTCACAGACTCATGCAGTGGGTGATGTGGGTTGTTCATGATGGATGTCAGCTTTACTAACATCCAACAACAGCTTTACTAAAATGCATGATGTGCCTTTTAGTATTACAGTCATAAACGTGACTGGAAGTTTGGGCAGTGGAGCAAATTCACTTTGCCACTTTTTATTTCGATTTTCTAGGTTTCTGTGATATAGAAAAGAACAAGCATAAACGTTTCACAAGTTTCAAAGACTGTCAAATAAATCCCATGTATGCCAGGAGTCACTGTTAGTCGATCCTTCTACTTTAAAACTCCTCCAGTTGACTGGATGTGAGCTTCTGGGACAAATCCTGATTGATGGGGATCCATTTCTGCCTTATCAGAGCTCCAAGCTAATCCCAGAATGTGGAAAATGATGTCAATTCTATAATTATTGTCCTCAAATGGCTAGAGCACACATTTAGCCATGCTCTACATATAGTACAGCACAGTAGGTGTGACCGTAGCAGCTGTTTTATTCATTTATCCATTTGTTTTTTGGATAAATTGTTAGATCAGCTGTGCTATCATAGTGAAGATATCCCCTTGGAGGCAACTGCTACTGTGTTTACAACAAACAAAAGCTTGATAAGATTGTAGATGACAGAACTGAGCCAATAAAGACGCCTCTGGGTTTCTTAGAAACGTCTGTGCCTGCAGCCAGACGCTCTGTCCTTTTTCCTCTTCCTGTCCCCTTTAACTGACCCAGTGTCCTGGAAAGCTTCCCGCAGTTTTTTTTAAAGACAGGAAGCCAACCTGATTTCACTCCAGTGTTGCTGAGTCGTCCCATCCATGTTTGGACCTGTAGGTAACCACAGACATGATTATTGTTGTCATCATTAACATTAATAATCCTATTGTTGTATCCATAGCTGGGTATTTGTTGTTCAGATAAGCTGCGGCTCTTGGAACACGCTATTGTCATTTTAATTTTAGTGGATTATATTTGTAAATGAACAAATATGAATAATGTTCATAAAGAGAGCAAAACATTATTAAAGAGCTGTTTCTGGCAGGTGCAGTAAAGGGAAGCAGGAATGAAAATTGTCA